CCGACTCACGGTCAACATATCAGCGGATTCATCGACCGACACTCAGTCGCCATATCGACCGATAGTATCGACCTAGTGTCGGCCGACAGCTGCCTTAAGTATACATGATCGGGAAACATTAAGAAGGAGGCCATTAGAGTGTGCATAATTGATGTGCTAATCACGTGGATATCCTATTACAGGTATGCAATTACAAAAAGTTTAAACTGGATATCTGTAATTGGACACCCACATGATTGTGCCAAATATGTAACAAATGGCGTGCAGGGAACTAATCATAATCAAAATTTTGTTACGATTATAGCTAGAATTGCCTCAAATCAGCAAAGTAAACAAACAGACAACAACAAGAAAAGCAAAAACAAAAAACAGACTTTCACACAATACTTGGGCTTGGGCCACCTGTGGTGATATGTGTAGTACAGTAACATAATTATTCTTTATCGTACTGTACACTGTAGTTAACATGTACATGTAAGTTCGTAATTATTGAGAAATCACCTTGTTTCACAGCGAGTGAGATTCCTACAAGAGCATCTACTGCAACTCTGTCCAAAATACTGTCAGAGACATCAATACAAGGTAAAAACTATGAAAAGACTGACTGGGAAAAAACAAAAGGTCTCATGACCTTAAGCTTGGTTAAAACTTAGGACTTGCTTGGTACTTACTTCATCAAAATCAAAATTCTGCTTCAGTTACATGCATCCAATTTCAATCTGTAAGTACTTAGCTTGGGAGAATCCCAAGGGTCTAGATATTTATTTGCTATGAGTTATTTTTCAGAGTGAGAGAGCACCCTCGAAACTGGCCCAAAGTAAAAAATAAAGGTCTGTGGACTTAGGGTGCTTTTTAGTCCCCTCCCTTAAGTCATCACCTAGTCAATATCACCTTCACCCTTGCTCCCTAAAATATCAAATCAAGCATCATCTGAAAGGATCCAAATTCAAAAGAACAGCTATACAGTGTCACAGCATGTGCTGGGAATTGTTTTAACTCTGCAAAAATGCAAATGAGAGGGGGAATCAGAACCATCTGACTTCTGTAGGCTATTAACTAGCTGTTTTTTTCTATCGGTTTGGGAAAGCGCCTTATTTTGATGGAAAATCAATTTGCCAGAAAGAAGCTGAACTTGCTCTTACGGAAGACAAAAAGTAATAGACCTCCTGTGCGATCTTGCATTTACTGCTTGCAGAACAGATCATGAAATAATCACGTAGAGTTTGGAAAACGTTTCATGATTAAATAACATGACTAGGGTATTAGTGCTCGAAATCAGAAGATTCCACTGTAGAAATGTGCTTGTTTTCATGACGATTTCATGTGAAGATCGATGGTATAACATTAAAGTCACATTATGCAAAGCGGCTCTATGTGAAGTGAAGACAACCACTTCAAATCACATGCTGTGGGTATGGTGGATTCTAAATGACACAGTGGTGACATGTAAATTGCCTTTTAGCTCAATGGGAATTTTCCATTTCTGGAGAAATAGGAATACTTTTGCAAGCAAACTTAGCATATGGCGTGTGGCAAGAGATTACATTTCATATTTGAATTTGCAATTTTATTAAGACAAAAGTCGTGAAAATTAAGTCCCATGAAAAGAAGTGGCAACAAAATAAGCAGCATTGACTATTTCTGGCTTTCAAGTGACACGATCGCTGCCATATTGGAGGTTATTAACAACATATTTCCAATAAGCTTCTTCTGTTTATATCACCAACGTACATGTATGCACCACATCTTTTTCATTTCTGTCTCTTGGGATTGGTTTCAAAATATCGATTCTAATTGCACCTGGAAAAGTTACTCTTTTATAATAGCATAGAATATTGCTAAAGGATTACCATCTCTGTTGATCTGTTTTGCAGTCAATTTCAGTTGCAACATTTATTTGATTTATCATTGTATCTTTAAGTTTGAGTTTCTAGATTGTGTTCTCCGTAAAGGGGATCTCATTAACCCATTGAGGCATGTGCCGGCTGTAACCAGCCGTGACGAATGTTGGCCTTTGTTCCACTTCTGACCTCATCACTTTTCACCAAATGTAGCATTACGTATTTTCAAGTTCTGCAGGAGGAAAAGATCTTTCCAATGACACCCTGATCAGAGTGACTGGATCAAATGACCCTGAAATATGCACGAATTTGAGTGAAAATCTCGTAGCAAAATTTCCCTCGACTACACTTGGCTACTCTGTGGCAAGATCAGAATTGCCTGTCACGATGATGCTTTCTTGGG